AGGAAGGACGATGTTAATTTCGAATAATACTCTTATTTCTGATGTATTCGACTAAATTAACAATTACAACATTAATGAATGTCCTTTTCTGAAAATAATACATACTATTTTGGCTTTTTTTGTACACAATTTACCACTAATTTCCGCGGTTACTTATTCTGCGTTTTCGTCTCGGCGTCACTCTCGATGTTCTAACTTCGTGCAGGTGGCAGCCTGATCACAACTCGGCAAAGCCAGCTTAGATCACAGGAAGAGCTTTTTAAAGTATGAGATGCGATCGTTTTTGTTAACTTTTTACTTTTTAGAGTAGAAAATTGTAATAAAATGTGACATAAACATTTCGTTGTCCTTCCATCTGTCTATATGTCACGTCTGATCATTTTAATAACTACTAGGGCTATCGATTAGAAATTTTCTAAAGTTATAGAGACTCCTTGTCAGTATCGGCCCCATTTAAAAATTTTGAAAAATATTTTTCAATGTAAAAGAGAGCGGTAAAATTTAAAAACTGAATTTAAAAGTCGAACGAAAGGGCCTTGTTTCGACATTAATGAGCGATTTTCTTTTTATTTAATTCGTAAATACGCCATTTTCTGTTTCTTAACACTAATGTTTTCTAACTGGAACATATCTGATTAGTTTAGATAAGAAGGTTGGACTTTCAGAAAAAGAAAATATTGTTCCCGAGGGATGGAAAAAATTACTTTTATGTGATAGTGACGATTTTTAACACGTATTTAGAACATCAAAACGAGGGAAGCCGCGGGTAAAACCTATCATGAAATTTTGTACACCCATTGTCAGGAGTACACAAAAATACATAGGGTACCTTTTATTAAAAAACAGAATGCTGTTCCCGAGGGATATAAAAACTAGTTTTATGTGATCATCGATGATTAAGACACGTATATAGGACATTAACGCAAGCGAAGAAAAGGACAATAGGTAGCTTTTATTCAAAATAAAAATACTGTTCCTGTGGGATAGAAATAATTAGTTTTTTTGTGATAGTCAGTGATCTTTGACAAGTATTTAGAAGATCGATGGGAGTGAAGCTGCGAGTAAAACCTATCATGAAATTTTGTACACACATTCCCTAGACAAACATTTTCAGTCTCTATCCAGTCTCTCAGAATCTTTCAGTCTTTCAGCGTCTCTGAGAGCATCTCTCACAGTCTTCCACAGTCTCTCAGTTATTGCCTAGATGTTTTTATGGATCTCTCACAGTCTCTGTATGAGAGACTCGAACGATAAAATTGTTAATTCAGAGATTCGAGTCTCTCACAGAAAGACTGAATGAATAAAACTGAAAAATTTAGAGACTCGAGTCTCTCATAGAAAGACTGAAATCTCTCAAATATGTTGAATTTTAACCATGTCTATTGAGACACCACTTATTGAGAGATTCGAGTTTCTCGTTCAGAGACTGGATACGAAATGAGGATCTCTCTATAAGCTACTCGAGTCTCTCGTTCAGAGACGCTAAACAGTTTTTTTGACAGTCTCTCGACAGTCTCTCTCAGCGACACCAGAGAGACTCAATGAGAGACGGAGACTCGAGTCTCGCTTTCAGAGACTCTGAGAGACTGAACATTTTTATCTCGGGTTGTCAGGGGTACAAAACAAGGACAAAGAGAACCTTTATCCAGAAAAAAAAAACTGTTCCCGAGGGATAGAAAAAATTAGTTTTATGTGATCATAGATGATCTATATAGTTTTATGAAAATAGCGTTTATCCGAAGTCATCTGGCAACACGACTAGTTACTGAGTTCCTTGGCCAAAATACTCGCATATGGGATTCCCAGACTCATTTAATCCTGCTTATTAATCCTGTCGTAGCGTTTTGTGAAGTTATTAGTATTATTAGCACCTTTTCTAAGCAAGACACAAAAAGGGCTTCGCAAAGCAGCGTTTGACAGGACGCCGCTTCGATTCCAGGATCGTCTATCCTGGTCTAAGTTTTTCTGTGATTTCCTTGGATCACTTGGGCAAAGGATGGGGCTATAATGTTCCGCAAATAATTTTTCACTCCCTCGTGTCTTCATTTCGCCCGTTTCAAGGTTCTCACTCTAATCACCACTGACCCATTCCAACGATTCCTAATAGAGCTTCCACCCGACCCTCCGGTGTAATCTGGAGGGACTCCCACCAGCAGGAATTGGTGGTGGGAATGAAATACCCAAAAGTTCTGTCTAGTTACGCCGCTGATTGAAATAACATAATTTTCACGGACTAATGTGCCACATTCGTCCACACACACATAAAGATACCTTCTCTATATCTATAGGTTGGTACGCTAAATATGTATGACCATGAGCGGTCGCTATTAGTCGCATTGTCATTTTTCGCTTATCTATCAATCGGCCGAACGTAAACATACTTGTCCGCTACATTTTTATTTTGACAAAAGAATTTCCAGCTACGATATACCAGATATCAATAAATCTGCATATTTATTCATACCTGTTGAACATTAAAAATAATTGGTACACACGGGTACCTACATTTGAATATCCGCCCACTCACAATCAGAACGTGATTAACCAACAATGAAATACCTTTTGATAATGAACACCATAATCTGATATAGATCACACTTGATTCATTATTATCAACAGAAGAGCACAGCTTCTTCAGGTGCAAGAACTAAAGTCTGTTCTTCCACCCACGGGCAGCGAAAGACCTGGAGTAGGTGGTGATTTCTCCCCATGTGACGATAAGACAAGACGTGGTTAATTTATTACGTGTGAACCGTAAACACTTTTTATATTTATAAAACCGAATAAATTTTTTAGTTATTCTGGTGAAAATGTATAAAATTCGAGGGTTATTCAGTTAAGTGCTTGTGACTTAAAATTTTCACTTGTTTCCTACTCACTACTACATCCCTCTTGCCTTTGAAGCTCTCGAAATTTTCACCACCTGCCCTTGAACCGCCACTGTTTCCACCTAAAGAAGCCACAAGGTCGAGATATACATATTGTAGATAATATTATATATAAAAGAAATTATTAGTGCTGTCAGCACAGGGCAAACTAGTATTACGTAGTTAGTATCAGCAATTTCTTATGCTGAAGTGTACGATGTGTTGCATAC